ATATAAGACACTGTCTTATTTTCGGGGAAACAGGGTATTTGTTGCTGCCTTTCCCCATGGCTGCAGCTTGCCAGCTCCACCGAGCGGGGCTAGCAAACCTGGCAAAAATGGGGGGGGGGGCGCACATGACCCCCCACATGCTTCTGCCCAGGAGGAGGGGGGGACTCAGGGCTTCAGCAGGAGTGGCGCTGAAGTCCTGAGCCCCGGCAGGCGCGCCTCGGCTCTCAAATTTCTGAAGATTGCCATATGCCTTCGGTCAGTACGTTTAGCTACCTCTGCTATACAGGAACAGTTTAGAACTCCAAGGGTATGTCTACACAGCACACTAAGCTCAGGGCTTTGTGACACGTGCCTGCACACTCGGTGTTCCAAGCCCAGAAGCGCCTAACTGATCAGAAACACCACCCTGCAGGGCGTTGCTGACTGCAGGATATTGAGCAGCTTGTGCTGCAAATCCCTGATCTCTAGGAGTGGAATAGCTCCCTATTTATGAGGTCTTGAAATTGCCAAAGATCAGCAGCTATGGGATGGTGGCAGAGACATAACTGCCTCATCTGGAGAAAAGGATGAAATTGGTGTTTGACGGTGGCTTCGTTATCTGCCCTGGCCTCCTGCTCCTCAGTCTCCTAGTGGTGGGCTGGTTGTGGAGGAGAGGGCTGTGTAACTCTGGCCTCCCTCTGAAGGAGGGTACTGGTGGTCTGGCAAACTGTCATTGATAGCCAGTCCAGAGTATAGTCATTGGGGGGGGGGGGGGGGAGCCTATACGGAACGGGGGGGGGGGGGGGGGAAATACAGGGTTGGTTCTGCTACCCTTGATAATGAGCCTGATCTTTCCTTATGACTGTCTAAGAATCAGTTCCTGAAGGGATATGTTGGAGAACCCTGAACAGAAATAGAGGAGACCAACTAGAAGTCCCATCCAGTGGAGGAGCACCCGCAGAAAATGGTGGAGAGTCCTGCGGTACCAGAAGACAGTAGTCTGGAGATTGGGGTCTCAGCCAAATTATACCAGCTGGCTCAGACTTCTACCATCCCTCTCAGCCCTCTGTGTAATTACTTAATTGCTTCCCATTATGTAGTATAAAATCAACTCTCATGCATTTGTTCTATATAGGCTTTTCTGCCTTCTCCAGACATTAAGATATGACAGTACCCCCATTTCCTCGATTCCAAATCCTGCATTCTCTAATTGGCAGAGACCCAGATCACTGCACTTCCAACCAACCCTACAGGCTACAGTCACTGGCACACAAGAGAGCTTGCAGGAGATGAGGACAAAGCACTCTTGGTAGTCAGCCTGCTCCTCTGGAACTTGAAACAGTGAAGCACAAACCTGTCTCTATTTAGAAAGCGCTGCAAGATGACTCTCTTGGTCCAGGTTTCTCCAATGGACTGAACTATGAAAACCTGCTCTCACAACTGACTGGCCAGATTCCTCCTCTGTCACTGTGGAAAAGCTGTGTGCTGCAGAGGAGCTCTTATAATGTTAATTACTCAATTTAAGCCATGTAAAGTGCACAAATTTCATGGTGATGGGTACCATCCCCAGCTTTGGATGGGTCCAACCCAAATATAAATATTAGAGGTGTTCCTCTAGCCTTCTTGCCTCCCACTCTACCCTCATAAAAGCACAACGGTCAGCTCTCTTGCTTAAATGCCCTGCTTGAGGAGGCACTAGGTGATACTCCCACAGCATATTGCGCAGTATGACTATGCACGCTGTGTGGATGGAGAAGAGATACAAGAAAGTGAATATTTTCTTTTTAAGACCTATTAGCAGGTCTCCTTTTTCCTGCGACCGTGGATGCAAAAATGTTTTAAGAGCAGACACCTGTCCTAGAGATAACCCCTGCTGGCTAAGGAATAAGGGACAGTGCCTACATCCCTCAGAGGGCCAGTCCAAAGTAGAGTAGAGTATTTCACAGAGGTGCTGAGTCTCTCTAAGAGCATGACATCACTTCATGGCAGGATTCCCTCCCTGTCATCACCATATAAATTCTTCCGGAAGAGAAGGAATGACAGAGTGCACATGAGCAGAAAGCAGCTTTTTGGAGAAGGCCGATGAGCAATTCGTGTTACTGTCAATACTGCTAAGCAGTGCCATTTAAATGTCAAACTAGCTACTGTCCTCTAAAAGGATCAGACCAGCAGCATGGAAAGGAATCACTGCACTGGCTCTGACTTTTCACACAGTTGCACAGAACATTTGTCTGCGCTGACGTGCTCTGACTACAAAGCATTTCATCTCCACTCACAACTCACCCAGGCACATTTGGGAACAGCACTAGTTACATATTCTTACTGCAAGTCACCAAGCACACTTGCAGAGCAATGACATGGAACTTGCATTTACTGAGGGCTGGGAAACACTACCACAGCTGGGCACTCGACTATTTGCCTTTCATTGAGATATACGAATGGTGATAGATTTCCTGAAGTTCAGATAGGAGGTCCTTAACGTTGTTTACGAAACTATTTCAAACACTCACACTAACTCTCCTGAGTTCTCTCTAGACAGTCACAAAAAATTGAGTCCATATAATCACCAGTGTCCTACAAGTTCCTAGCAGCTAACACAATTCCAAGGAACACCAGAGTATTCACTTTTCCCCTTGCACACAAGCTGGGGGCTGAGGTGTCTCCCTGTTCTTTTCTTCTGCTGGCTGGTTCGTGAGCTTTGGCATAATAACGAATGCATTGGATAAGAAGTTAGAGGTTTGGCTCACTGACCAAACACAAAGCACAATGAGGAGCAGAACTCAGGCTGAGACGGGTGCACAGAAATTCTAGTCTCCATTTGGATAGGATGGAGTTATTCCTGAGTTTACAAAGCAACTTTCTTCCGAAAATATTAAGACTCATGTGAGATGCAAGCCCAAATGAGGGAATCCATGACCTCCCCCTGCAGAGAACATGCATGTCCAGAGTTGCATGTGTACTGAGGTTCCCTAGTTCTGCCCTCTCCCATACCAGGCCTACATGTCTTTTCAGAAGCTATAATAGGAAGGGAGGAAGAATGGTCTTGTGGTTAAGGTGGAATGAAAATCAAGAGATCTGGGTTTATTTCCATCTCTGTCACTGATTTCCTTGTGGCTGTGGTCAAATCATTTGTCCCCCTTTCTGTAAATTGGGATAATACCTACAAGCAAAGGGGCATGGTGAAACCAATTGCATTAGTGATTGCAAAATCCTTCAAGATGCTTTGACAAAAAGGCACTAGAGAAAAGCAACACAGTGTTACGACATTTAGGTCAAAGTGTTCCCAAATTGATGATAGCATATCAGTAATCATATAATTCAAAATGAGACTGAGTTTTGTTATCCAACATCCTTCTCTAAACAGGTGAAACAGACAATAGACACTAGAGAGAGAACAGGCCTATTTGGCCACTAGACATCCCTAATGCTCCTTAGAAATACAACTGCAAATGACTATTTGTCTAATTGTAAATAAGTCAAGTTGTAAGAGGAAGGCATCAGGAAGTGACAGTTTTGCATACCCAGCATGTTTCTGAACATTACATTCACTAATGAAATAATGTCATCCAGAGGTGATTGGTGCCTCTGGAATTAATCACACTTGCTTCCACATTACCTGAATTGTAGATTGCTAATGAGGATTTGGCACTGAATAATTCTACTATATGTCTCTACAGCATTCAGTCACAGGCGTTTGTCATTTTTCTAGCACATATTATACAAGAGGAGATACTAAATGTAGATCTAATTTTTGTAACACATCTGTCTTTTAATTTATTTTTTTCTCATTCAGATATTTTTTCCAGATAAATGAACACACCTATTTACAAGGCAAAACTCTGCATTGACACTTTTCTGCTGTTTAAGGCAGCTCTGAGTAGGAGGGTTAGATATCTGGAGCAGAAAAGCAGATTAAGTAATCCCCCTCCCCGAAAAAGAAATTACCTTTGGTATATAGCAAAAATAAACCTCCCACCAGTCCCAATCTTAAACTGTTTTTTCCTCCAGGAGGATTTATTACTTTCCAATGAGCAGCCATTCATGTGCTTCTGATCTTGTTCCTTTTCAAAGGATCAGATCCTGCCCAGCATGCACAACCCCGACAGAAAAGACTAAATACAATGCATAAAAACACACCACCAGACACACTGTAAAAACTGTAGGCTACCTGGGGGTTGGCACCGTACTCCACCACACGTCTGCTTTCAAAAACCTTACCTTATAGGCAACGCTGTTTGAGGAGTCCACAATGATAAATAGGGGCTTTCTTGTGAAAGGGTAGAGATCACCAGGGTGAAGGCTAAAAAGAGAAAGATGAGACAATTCACACAGCACTAGAACTTTCTGTGAAGCTGCTACCGGGGTTGCACTGTCCTGCTCTGAGCGAGAAGGTTTCTCCTTAGGCACATAGCTGCCCACGTTAAAGGGAGAACAGTAGGATGGAACAAGAAAGCCTAATACTCAAGTTGTAGCTCACTTTACAGGAAAAACAGAATATTTAAGGGGAAGTTTTTTGCCGTCACCCACATAGAGTATTAGCCCCAAATGAGAGAGGATTTAAAGAGGTGAAATAAAACATTAGAAAGAGCTGGACAACACAACAGACATCCAAGATGGTTTAGTACAAGTCTGGCCCTACCAAATTCATGGCCATGAAAAACATGTCACAGACTGAAATCTGGTCTTTTGTGTGCTTTTACCCTATACTATACAGATTTCACGGGGGAGACAAGCATTTCTTAAATTGGGGGCCCTGAGCCAAAAGAGAGTTGCAGAGGGGTTGCAATGTTATTTAGGGGGGTAGTGGTATTGCCACGCTTACTTCCGCGCTGCCTTCAGAGCTGGGTGGCTGTTGGCCAGGCACCCAGCTCTGAAGGCAGCCCCCCGCCAGCAGCAGCATGGAAGTAAGGGTAGCAGTATTGCAGCCCTCCCTAAAATAAGCTTGTGACCCCCTTACAACTCTGTTTTGGGTCAGAACCCCTACAATTACAACACTGAAATTTCAGATTTAAATATCTGAAATCATGAAATTTATTATTTTACAAATCCTATAACCATTAAATTGACCAAAATGGACCTTGAATTTAGTAGCGTCCTAAGTATGAGACAACATAATCTTTTCTAGCCTTTCAGGAAAGTAAGGGGCGGGGCTGGGGGGTGTTCGAGAATGTTCATAGGCAGTACACAGCACAGGTATCAGCCAGTGTTTCACCAGTTCATAGTTATCTTACCCTCTATTAAGGGAGTGAGTCTACCTGAACCCCAACTATTAGGAACAAAGTGAGAGCCCCCGAGGTCATCAAGCCCTTCATGATTTGGGGCAACAATCCCATGGAAAACCAGTCTGATCCTGACACGGCTATTTCCTGGGTTGAAAATGCTCAATGGAAGTCCTCGTACTGCTGCTGCACAGTGCTCCACAAGCTCTTCCTGCTTCACTACCACCTCAGTTCAAGGGGCAGACGAGCAGTCAGTGCTCTCCTTGCTGGGCCTGAAGGGGTGCAGGTCCTCTCCTTCCCCTTGACCACAAAGGACAGGGGGAGGGAAAGAAGGATCCACTCAGTCGGCAAAGTGCTCCAATAAGAGAGTCCTGATGCCGTTCCTCCTGAACATCGGGATTTGGGGAAAGAATGGGGCTGTGCAGCACCTGCCCCAAGGCAGATTAACCCTAGGAACACCTTTCAAATATAGGACTGTTCCAAAGTGGAATTCTGCTTAAGTTTAAAAATTGTGCCCGTTCATGCTTTTTAGTGAGAGACACTCAGAAGGGGGCAGGGGAGCGGAGATTACTGCCATACTTCTACAGATAGTTAGTGGGGTTTGCCCTTTAAGTCACTGGCTAGAGGCCAGGAGTTTTGAAACTGAAGGTCCGGAGTTCTATTCCCCATTCTGAATGTATAATTGTTACCACCAGCCTACATGCACTGAGCAGCTAAGAGCCAAATACACCGTCATGGGTATGTGTGCCATATGAACAACTCGCTAAATACAGAGTTCACCTTCCACTGGTATTAGGCCTGGTCTAAATGTGATGGGGTCTCTCGTCAAAGCTGATGTACAAGGATTCAGCAAACACGTAAAGTTAAGCAGCATAGCTGTGTCAGCTGGGGGAGAGGGGGTCTTTTTTTTTTTTTAAACCAATATAGCTAGATCAATACAAGCTCTAGCATAGCTGCCGTTTACACTGGCAAAAAAGTGCTTTTGCCCCGGAACTATATAAGCTGCGCTGGCAGAAGCACTTTTATGCTGATGTAAACTTCATCTACACTAGTAGGGTTCGCTAGTATAGCTACACCAGTAAAAAAACTTTTCTAGTGTAATCTAGATGCAGGTGGAGATGATGGGCAGTAAATACAGCTCAACAGAAGTTAAGGGGCTCAGTCAGACTGACTCCTCCCAGGCGTGCATTCTCTTGCCCTCTCACTACTAGTTCATCAGACAGGAAAGTCACCCCAACTCTGAAGTTTTGTGACCTATGCATTTGATTAATAAATAAATAAATAAAAGCACACATTTTCCTAGAAAAGTTAAATAGGGTTTGGTGCATCGTTACCGAGAAGAAGAAAAACTTGCTTGCCACTTATTTCCCCTTGCTGAACCCATGAAACTCACCAGTGCATCTCCTTGTAAGATTGGTTCCGTTTGTGGACAGCATCGCCATTTATAATGTCCCGGTTACTGTTCGTAAGGACCCCACCAAAATCATATGGACCTACAAATGTCAAAAAAGAGAGGAGATTAGCTGTCATGTCACAACTTTGATTAAGTGATTATAGGTGTAGGACAAAAAAAAGTAATGAATCTGAACTACTAGAGTTTCGAGAAAAAGTAATGATGGCGAGTTTACAATTTACTAGCCATGCAACTTAATGTGTGTGTGTTTTGGTAATTTCAGTGACTAACCTTCTGGTCTGGTAATACTGAGCATGCTGTAACTTCCACATTATTTATTTATTCTTCAAATGAATGTAGAAATCAGAAGACAGACATATACTGTAACCCATTAGGCTATGTAGTAAAAGGAATGCACATCTAGGTCAACAGATGCATCTCCAGGGACAGGAAAAGAACTTGACATATCTTTCATACAGGACAAATCAATACAAATTTTAACTACTACTTGAATCAATATATTTCAGAGTCAGAATTTGTCCTTCTAAGGAGTTAAGATCAATCAATTTCAAAACTTGAACTTTTCCAGGGCAGCCATAATACCAGCCTTTGCAGCCATCAGAGCACTACTAGGAGCTCTATAAACAAAGCTCATAAGTTGAAGAAAAGTTGGTTTTTAAACCTAGTAACAATCCAACATTATCAGCCAGGTTTCAGATCCAAAGTGATGGCTAGCTAGTCTTTGGAATTCTGTTGTTTCTGAAGTTCTAATAAAATATTATACGATTTTCAAAGCTATGTTGCATTTTTTTGTCTGGTCCTAATGCAGGCTTAGTGATTATTCCATTGGGCACAGCATCTGGGCTGGCTGGTGGACAGTGTAGAAATTTAAAAAATTGCTGTCTCCAGAGAAATATTAATGGTCCCTGCAAGAGTGTGCTGGTACAGACAAGGATATATTTCTCAGTTTAGTGGGAGTAATGGAACTCCTCTAGTATTAATGGGAGAATTGCATATATATTGGGACTTCCTAATTCTGCACAGTTGGATTTCATCGCTGTTATTTCATTTGCAGATAGTCCTTCCCTGTCTACACCTGAAAACCCCTTCCCCTCAATAAACAATTACTTTTTACTTGTAAGAGAAGCTTTAAGAGATCAGGAACAGAGCAAACTCTCATTTAGTGCTGTCACACATGGCTTAAGTGTGACCTGTCAGCCAAAACTGGTCTGTATAATTCAACATTGCAACCTGCAGCTCCCTCTTCTTTAATACAGAGCACAATGTGCTGGGAATTTTAGTTTTTGCAGGCCACACTTTCCTAATTAAAAAACACCACCACACACACGACTGACTGCAATCTGATTCATCATGCAAGCCCCTGGGAACTGAAAAGTTGCTTATGGAGCTCTCTATAGGACAAAGATTGGGTGCCTCTACAGTAGAGTAGTAAGTTAGAACAAGGCATGCAGTGAAGTTAGATACAATGCAGGTTACAAGGGACACAATATAGTTAAGACCAAACTGTCTGGGTTGCATCACACTGTAAAATGTTAAAAGTAATTTTAAAAAAATATCACTGCCACTATAGAAAGTTTGCAGGGATTTTTTTTTTCTTTTAGCATTTTGAAAGATTCACAAATCATGCAAGGAAGATGGAACAAGCATGCATCTGATAAAGGAATGCAAGTCTCAAACAGATGAAGGGTATACAATATTTAGGATGTTTCAAATAATTTCTTCCTTTAAAGTAAGTTATACAAAAGTACCAATCTTTTGACTGCATTTGCACTAGTTGGCCAGTTTTAGATTTTTAGACTGTATCTGCATCCCAATATTCTGCTGGGTTGAATAACAGGGGAAGATGAGTTGAGAGGAATTATTAAAATCATGACAAGAGCTTGAATTGTCACATCAATAAACGTATAAGGAGTACAACAATCTCTGCAGAGAGCCCCTCAGCCCTTTGGCCACCATTCTCCTGAACATCTATTTTGATACTTCAGATTGGAAAGAAATGCTAGATGTTGTTGAACCATTTTATTACGGTAAATCTTCACTGATTGGCCAATTGAGCCACATGTCTTCAAAACTTTTGACATTTTTAACATTTCAGATCTTTCAAAAACTTGGTCACGTCCTTTGAAAAGATTTCAAGTCAGTAGGTTATTGTGTGCTAAACACACAGAATTAGCTGCTGTGTCTCCAAAAGAAAGCAAGTCTTGGTAGGTAGATGGGCTATGAAATTGGACTTGTCCTTTAAAAGGAGTTTTGCGAGATCTCTGTGGGCCACTTATCCTGAAATATAAAGCAAATTCAAGCCCTGCTCATGACAGGGAGCATTCCTTTATTGTACCTTCACTATCCGAACGACCTGAGGGAAACACGCCAGTGGCCGACAAGTAGATCAGCAGCACACTGTTCGCAGGCAGCTCCTGAAATTCAAGCAAAGGAAAGGGGCAGGAGGAAAATTCAGACATTACTTGTAACATGCTACATACATCTTGTATCAGCTTGATAAAATCATTGGTATTTACAGGTGCAACTCCTCTGCCCCGGCTGCCCTTCGGCCTTATGTGGCTGCTTTGCACGTATCTATAATCGCTTACACAGACACTTCTTGAATCAATGGGCATTTGGGATAAGAACAGCCATGCTGGGTCAGACCAATGGTTCATCTAAGCCCAGTATCCTGCCTTCCAACAGTGGCCAATGCCAGGTGCTTCAGAGGGAACGTACAAAACAGGCAATCAAGCAATCCATATGGGTACACACAGTGATGCGTGCTGCAGAGGTACTCAGTTGTATCTTTTTAAATATCTGATTGATACGCCGGGTTCAGAGGCTGTAAGAGCACCATTTCCCCCACATCCCCTCTTCCCTAATATCTAGTGAGACACAGACTTCCTGGAATGTGGAATCTAAGAGTTAAGCCAAGGTCCCTTTGGAAAAAGACTCTCCAGCTGTCCAGAATTCTGAAGAAGGTCTTAGCTCCCTTCCCCTTCCCCCCCAAAAAAGGGCCTGCAACAAAAATAATATCCCAAAACTTCTCAGTTGGGCAACTTGCCAAAAAACCACCCAGAGTGCTGGATCCTGCACGAGTCTGTGCAAGCAATGCATATGCATCCATGTGCCACCTTTCCGTTCACTCCCTGCATGGGAGCACCGACATATCTGAGACCCCTGCTTTCTGGGGGAGAGACTGAGCATGCAGGCACGCACAACACCAAACACAGTCAGGAAGTTTCATTTTAGGCTCATCAGCTGTGACACTGCTTCCTCTGTAAAGAAACAAGTTGTTTTTAGCAACTAACTCCCCCAGTTGCTGCTGGTACAAACAATTAAATATACTGGGCCCTACAATTGTATTAACTGGAAATGAATTTAGCCACTGTAACTTTGTAGAATTCTTAGTAAAGATACTTATATATTTAGATCAGATAATCTGCCACTAAGACAGACAACCAGATAAATCATTAAAATTTCCATCCTATGAAGAGGATGGAGATTAACCTTTTGTCATTTACTTTACAATTTAAAAAGGCTACTAAAGCCTTAGTTTTCAGGAAAAATAAAAAAAAGGGATTTTTCTTGACTCAGTTACTTTTCTTTAGAGAAGTGTACCATTCCAGAGATTTTTTTTTTTTAAATCAACTGACAAATACACCTGATTTTACAAACCTTAAACGCTGCTGCTAAGAACGTATACAGCTGGCTGAAGGTAGGTTTATACAGCAAGTACTTATGGGGATTTTCCCGCCTAGCAGGTTTCTCAGTCGACTCCTATTTAAAAACAAAAAAGCACACCATGTATATTCCTAATATAGCTTTATCTTTACACTTCCATTTATCTATTTATTCATCTTCAATGTGCTTCCCTAACATATTGGTCTGCCCATGTAGCATTCTCTACTGAGTACCACAGTAACAAAGTTCAGGTCAGAAACCGTTTGACAGTCAGTATTCAGGCTTAACCCTCAATTTAACTTGCCATCCAAATCCTGCTTTTATCCTGGATTATAATTTAGAGAGAACAAGGTGAGAAAATGCAAATCTCCAATTCAGTTAGTTCCTGATCCCTTAATAAAGCTCCCTGACCATATTTTCAAAGACACTCCCTGATAACAGCACACATCCGCCTCATTCTAGCTCCGTGTTTTTTACTTTGTTCTTCCAAGACACAAACATTTTCTTCCAATTTTATTTGTACCTCAACATACTGCTGTGAAGTGTGCTGACAAAAACCAAGGACTGGCAATTCTCCCCTTTGTCTACAGATGAAACACAAAATGCATCCTAAATATCTACTCTAAACTATACGAACAGGGATGACCCAAATGAGAGACCGGATCAAGTCTTTCCATTGGAACCAAACAATACTTGCTACTGAAGCTTCCACATATAATAGAGAAGCCACCATTACCCAAGTCCAACTCTAGAGTTTGAACCCCCTTTCTGTAAGTATCAGAATAAGAATTATAACAACATAGCTGCCATGCTCTATATACAGAGAATTCTGTTGCCAAGTTTCCAACTGAAAATGAAACTCACCTGCATTCCAGGTTTGTTCATTTGTGAAGCCAAGTTCATTGGTTCCCTTTCCAGTGCTTGCAACATTCGGAACATGTCAACCGTTAATTCACTGAACTTTACCTGCAAGAGGAACACTGCCATCACTAATGCATCCTATCTGGCATGGGGTAAATAGGTACTCTGCTTCCTAAGAATTAGCCAGGTAAGAGCATTGAACTGTGTACTGAAAAGATTAGAGTGAAAGACTATACAATATCTAAAAGTGCCCAACATTTGGTTAAGATACTCGTAACCCCACTGCTGACATGGAAAAAGTATAGAGGTGAGATATGAAAGCCACTTGACCTCAATGTTAGCTAAAAAGACAGAAAATTTCCCCAGGCTGTTTGGAAAGACATTCATCTGTTGCATCACCTGTGATGCGACCCTCATATGGAAGTGTCACATCACAGGTGATGCAACAAATCGGGTTTTTCCAAACTGTCCCACAAAAGACATGTCACTAGCATGTTTTAAATGTGCATGTAGCGGGGTGGTCACCTGCTCCCGGTCTGAAAGGGTAAAAAGCCAGCCCTTGGAGAGGACTGGGGCTGGGAGCCTTAGGTTGGGCTGACTGGGGAGGCAGCCTCAGCTGTGCAGACACACAGTCTCCTCTAGCTGGAGAGGGAGACAGACCTGGCTGCTAGGGAGCTAGAGAAGGTACCTGGAGTGGAGCAGGGCTGGGGGAAGGCCACGGGAGCCGGGGAGCTCCGGCCTGGAAACCCCCCAGGCTGCGGCCTAGTATAAGGCTAAACAGGTACTGGGGTTGCAGGGGGCAGCCCCGCTATAGGTAGAGGCAGCAGGTCCAAACCCCCCTTGCCAGTGATGAGTGGCTGATACTGCCGCCTGCCCCAGGGAGCGGGGGCTAGTTGGTGACTGGCAGTAGCCTACGACTGAGGCGAGGTGGGGATAGTGGGTGGGGGGTTCCCCTGGGTGGGGAGACCGAGAAAGAGTGGGGTACTGCCTGGGGGGCAGCACCCTGAGGAAAGGGGCACCGGATCCGGGAGGGACACAAGGGCGAAAGCAGTGAGTGGCAAGACTTCGGCTTGCAGAGGGCGCTCCAAGCCTGGAAAAAGAGCCAATTCCCAGGATGCCAGCAGGTGAGTCTGCGCATGACTACAGCGCACAACAGTCTGCGGGTATCAGATAGAAGAGATCATTCTTAACTAGCATAATGGATACAAGTGGTAAAAAAGATATGTGGCAATGGGCTGATATGGGGAGGTCACTTACCTTGCAGTAACTTGAGTTTGAGTAGTTTTGGCCCTATGGGTACTCTTTCGTAGGATGTGCCCATGCGCTCTTGACTAAAGAATGCAAAGTACTGTGTGCAGGACTGCACCTAGCAGCACCTTGTGCTTCCAAAGGAGAGCATATAACAGTGACAGCAGGTCCGTGCCTCTTCAGTTCCTTCTTGAGTGTGAAGCAGAACTCCACAGCTGAGAGAAAGGGGGAAGGGGAAGTGGAGCACACATACGAACAGGGCCGGCTTTAGGACCTGCGGGGCCAGATTCAAATACCTGGTGCCAGTCCGGGTCTTCAATGGCACTTTGGCGGCGGGGGGGTCCATCACTCGGCTCCGGGTCTTCCGCGGCACTGAAGGACCCCCCCGAGGCCGAAGTGCCGCCGCCCGGTGAGTAAAAAAAAATTTAAAAGGCGCCTAAGGCGCAGGGCCCTCTTAGGCACGGGGCCAGATTCTGGGGAATCGGGGGAAATCGGCCTAAAGCTGGCCCTGCATACGAACAAAACATCTTGAAGAACTCAAAGTTACTGCAAGATAACTAACCTCTTCTTCAGGTATGTGTCTGTAGCGGGGTGAATGCCCGCTCCAGCCCTGAAGGGGTTGGAAAAGCCCTGCAGAGGGCTGGGGCTGTGTAAAGGGGCAAAACCCTGGCTGATTAGGGAAGTGGCTGCAGCTGGGGCCACGCCCCAAACTGAGCCACTCAGCCTTATAAGAAGGCCAGGGTAGCCAGGGCCAAGCAGTCTCCCTCTGACAGGAGAGAGAGAGAGAGACACACAGACAGACAGACAGACAGGCAGGCCTGGCTGCAGGGAGCTCACCGGGGACCTAGAGTAAGGCAGGGCTGGGAAAAGGCCTTAGCGTGCTGCGAAACCCTAGGCCAGCAACTCCCCAGGCTGCAGGGCCTGGTCCCAGGTCCATATAGGTATTGGGGTTGCAGAGGGGCAACCTAAGGGTGGGTAAAGGCAGCCAGTCCAAACCCCTTGTTGCCGGTGATGATTGGCTAATAGACTACAGTCTGCCTGAGGGCGCAGGGGCTAGATGGTGACTGGCAGTAGCCATAACTGAGGCGACATTGGGATAGGAGGTGGGGGTTCCCCTGGGTGGGGAGACCCAGAGAAAGAGTGGGGTACTGCCAGGGGGACAGCACCAGAGCCAAGGGCACCGGGGTCCGGGAGGGACACGGGGGCCAACGACAGGCGGATCACCGGCCTGCAGAGGATGCTCCAGAGGCTGGTGAGCTAATTCCCGGTACGGCCAGCAGGAGGCGCCGCAGGAGCGAGTCCACGCCTGATTACAGTGTCCCTATAGGTGCTCCACCATAGGAGACTCCCCAGCAGTAACTCAACGAGGAGACCAGTCCAAGACAATTCAAAGGACCATCACCAAAGGTAGCATCATCCCTGGAAGCAGGTAAAATGGCACAATGCTTGGCTAAGGCATGAGCAGAAGACCAAATTGCAGTCCTACAAGTTTCTGTTACAGGAACGTCTTTCAGGAGAGCTACAGATGTGGACTGAGCTCTAGTGGAATGTGCTGTCACTCCATGAAGGGGCTGCATCCCAGCAGATTCATAACAGATTAAAAAGCAACCTGAAACCTATTTCAAGAATCTGCGTGGAAATCGGTTGTCCCTTCCTCTGTGAAAAAGTCTACAAATAATCTGGGAGAGACCCAGAAGGTCTTAGTCCTGCCCACGTAGAAGTCAAGAGCAGTTCAGACATCTAGTGTATGTAGGCTGGCCATCTCTCTGGAAGCATGATGCTTTGAGTACCTGGTATGTGGATCTCTTGATTAATATGATATTCCAAAGAGACCTTTGGAAGAAGCAAGGATGTGATACAGCATAACCATATTTCTATAGAAGGTAGTAAATGATGTGTCTGCCATCAGAGCACTGAGCTCTCTCATATGTCTAGGTGAAGCGATGGCTATAAAGAACGAAGTTTTGAAGGAGAAGTGGAGGACAGAACAGGTAGCCATCAGTTCAAAGGAGATTTTCCTCAGGGCACTGAGAACCAAATTAGAAATTCCCACTGGGGGGCCAGAGGCCATACCGGGGAAACAAGTCATGTAAGCCTGGAGGGATCTGGCTGTACTGGGATGGGCAAAAAACTGAGAAGCCCTCAAAAAGTGGAAGGCAGTGATAATGGGTAAATGTACTCATTGCTAGACAGCAGGTCTACAAACCCAATAGTTAGTCTAGGATTTTGGAGAGCAGAACACCTTTTCAGTCTATACAAGCATCAGAGAACACTAGGAATGGAAGTATTTCTAGTTTTGAAGGTAAGTTTTGCAAGTACTAAGTTTCCTGCTAGATAGGAGAACTGACTAGACCTTATCCAAACATATTAGCTCCATGCTCAAGAACCAACTAGGAACCATGCGCTCAGATTCAGGGGGAAGGGGGTTCAGACAGATCAGGGTCCCAGAGTTCTGGGACAGGAGATCCTTCGTGAGAGAAAATCTGGGAGGCATTGCCAAAAAGAGGTGAAGGAGGTTCAAATACCACACTTGTGTTGGCCAGAACGGTGTTATGAGGATAACCCTCCCTTTCCTGTTGCAGTTTAAGCAAGGTCTTGAGGAACACAGGTAGATTAGGTAAGAACATAGCGGGATACGGGGCCACAGTGTTGTCAGGGCACTCTCTACGTCCCTGTTGATTCATATGTAAATAAGTCTCCCCATTTTGATTCCACACTGCTCAATTTACATTGGAGACAGGTTGATAGCTGCCTTCCCTCGAGTTCAGGAGAAAACCAGTTTCTCCCTGTGTTTGGTCACAGATTTTGAAGCAGATCAGTGAGTATCCATAATTTCTCATATAGTATTTCCAAAATGTATGCATTAGGATATTAATCACCAGTAAGTCACAGGCTTTCATAAAAGACCTTACTAAAAACAATTTTCTAATACAGTAATTTGTATTCAATCAGTTGATTCAATTACTTATCATCTGAGGTTCAGACCCCCATCATTAACAGTTAAGAGGTATCTTCCCCCCTACTTGCTAGGTTGATGGTTTTGTTTATCTTTTATGTAAGTATATCTTCATTATCTCTGCTTGTCTGACCAACCTGGTTGTCAGGCAAATACACATTCCTTTGTCCAAGGCAAACTGTGTTTAAAGCGTGTTTGGCAACACTTGGTACTGGTAGTGTTCTGAGCCTATTGCAAAATGTACAAAATGTTTGTGGGATGCGGGGAGGGAGTGAGAGGAGGAAAGATGGCTACATGAAAGTAGACATTCTGGAGGTCAAGGGCAACAAACCAGTCTCCCATATCTAATTGGAATGACGGCAGCTAGTGTCACCATGCTGAAGTGCTGGGAAAGGATATAGGTGTCCAGGCTTCTTTGAGGTCGAGGATTGGTCTCCATCCTCTGCCCCCTTGGGAATGAGGAAATAGTTGGAATAAAACCCTGTTCCAATGAACTCTGAGGGAACAGGTCTGACCGACCAAGAGTAGGAGAGACTGTGGATCCCTTGTTTTAAGAGATCTTTGTGAGGAGGGTCCCTGAAGAGGGACAAAGAATGAGGGTGCCGACGGGGGGGGGGGGGGGGAAGGGAAGGGTACATAGTATGGAAGTGGATAGAATATCCCGCGTTAATCACCTCCAATACCTAGAGCCCTGTGCGGATACAAAAATGTGGATCCGCATCAACCAGGATCAACCCACAATCCGTCTTCTACCTGTATCTGTAGATGTACCCACAGCAGCAAGGGGGAGGGGAAGCGAGTGTGGGAGGGGGGCACGGGGTCTTACAGGGAAGAGGCAGCACAAGGGCGGGGACTGGGGGTAAGAAGTAGCGTGGAGGCAGGGTCTCAAGAAGAAGGGGCAGCATAAGGAGAGAGAGTCTGAAGTGGGTTTGTTGATTTCTCTTATTAGCCGCATCCACCTCCAGGGAATTGGGAAGGAGGAGGAAAAAGAAACACTCCATTCCCTTGATCATTTACAGGTGGGCTGGATAGTAGCAGGTGTTTGCTAGACTGTGCAAATAGGCGATAACAGAGCCTCATTGATTGGGAGAGCAATTTTCTTGAGGTGATATTTAGAATGTCCACCAAGGAGTGTTGAGACTCCTGGACCTCTTGTCATAGGATCTGGAGGGATTGTGCCAGGCAGTTCAGGGGGGGTTTGGAAAGCCCAAAGGTCATCAGCATAAGATCGTATATGGACTCAGCAGGGTGTGATGGTATGGTGCCAAAAGAAAGAGCCCTGTACCAGGACCTTAGAGTCGAAAGCAGTATCATCCCTGGGGCTGAAAGGGGGAACATAAAAGATATAGGTGCCAGTACTGGAGTCCAGCTGAGGTTCAGTCTGGGAGGATTGTGGTTGGAGGTGTTCATGCAGTACCATGGATGGAGCGTTTAGAGGACCGTAACAGGGGAGATTCTGGTTCTTCCAGTTATAGAAGAGGTCCTCCATGGAGAGAAATCTGGAGAGTGCTCGTGGGCTATGGTATCCAGAAGTCTGGACAGTACTGGAACCCAGAGAAGGGGTCTGGGCTGAAAAGGAAAGCATGGTACCAGAGAGGCTTGTAGAGGAACTTCTGATCTCAGAGCTCTGGTGCAGGGAAGGCATTGACAGTGGAACATGAGTGGGAGGCCAGCGTGCATCTCAATGCACAAGAGTGAGTCGGTACTCAGGGAGATGGCTGCATGTACTGTTTGTTAGAAGACTTCTCATACTGCTTCTTGTGCGGTACTGGTACCAGAATCAGACAGAGACCCAGTTGTACCCCTTGAGGAATGCGAGATCTCCTGAGAGTGGGATTTATGAGGCTTCTTCTCGGAAGTCCTAGCCTCTGGAGGTGCTCCTGGAGCTGCAACAGCCACCAGAGCACCCTGGGATTGAGGTTGATGTACGGTGGGGGAAGTGAACAGCCTCCACTGGAGCTTCTGAGTGTTCCATTAGCAGGCACTTCAGCCTACTCTCTGCCTTTGCTACCTTTAAACTACCTTTCAACAATGCACAGACCCTATGCTTCGATGGGATGTGGGTGGCTCTGAAGCAGCTCAAATGCCCATCGCTAGAGTAAAAGAGACTTGAGGCAGGTCTGGCAGGACTTAAATCCCAGGGTCTTCAGCATCACCCAGAATGCTAATGGACCAAAACAGAGGACTGAAAGACGGGGGCGGGGGGAGGGGACACTAAGAATCACTACATTTAAGTAAGGTGGGAAGCTGAGAATGAGTGGACATGCAATCTCTCCATATTGAGCTGCAGCCGGCTGAGACAGAACTGAGTGGCGGTGGGTCCAGGCCTCCCTATATACCCTCCTTTGGAGTCACAAGGCACTGCTCTGTGCAGTGCAGTCCTGCGGACACTGCTTTGCATTCTCCAGTCAAGAGCACTCGGCTGCGAGCATATCCTATGGTGGAGTACCCATAGGGACATACACTCGAAAGAACAGGACAAAGGACAGTTCTTGTTGGTTATCACTTAATTTTGCCAAACTCTCAGCTCATCTACAGTCACTCTTAACATCATTGCTAAAGATTTTGTATTTGCCTCTTTTGGACTCTGCAATTTCCTTTAGTAGAATCAGGAAAAAAAATGAACTGTTTTCAATTCCAATTGAAGACTGAACATACAAACAATTCCTTGTAGTCTCCTTTACCTGGTTATTGCAATTCCCAATAATTAATGCATCTGCAAGAGTGAGCTGTCCCACGATCATTCCCTGCTCCAGCAACGGGGCCCCTGTTTCAGACAGTCGGTTGGAGGTGATTACGATGGTATTGTCATCATTTAAAACCATCACAGGATCTGCCTGGAAAGATAAACCAGCACAGAGCATGAATTCCAAGGATACCCACAGGGTCCACGACCACTAGCAAAAGGAACTCTGTCCTGTCACTCATAATAGACATCCCATAGCTGAAGTGAAGACTACTTTATTTGTCTTAATTATTTGCCTTTTAGATCCTAAGGCCGCAGAGCAATTCCAGCTTGGAAAAGGAGCTGCTCCTAGGGACTAGAACGGTGTTTCTCAAACTCGGGCCGCCGCTTGTGTAGGGAAAGCCCCTGGCGGGCCAGGCCGGTTTGTTTACCTGCCCCTCCACAGGTCCGGCCGATCACGGCTCCCACTGGCCGCGGTTCACTACTCCATGTCAATGGGGGCTGCTGAAAGCGGCGCAGGCCGAGGGTCGTAGTGGCCACCGCTTCCAGCGGCTCCCATTGGCCTGGAGCAGCGAACCGGGCAGGTAAACAAACCGGCCTGGCCCACCAGGGGCTTTCCCTACACAAGCGGCGGCCCCCGTTTGAGAAACACTGGGCTAGAAGAAAGTACCTTGGATATTTAAACACAAATATTTGTGTTGTAGCACTTTAAGTGCAGTTGAGAGGAGAATGTACCCATGCAGGATAAGCCATCTGACTTCGTTTCCCAGAATCAGGGGAAACGAACTTCACTAACACAAGCACAGCAGGCAATCCACATGCAGCCCATGCAGATAATTGGTAACATTTCTACATGGCAGAAAAATCCTGCATTATTTACATTTCTCCTCTTTCATAGAGAGAAATAATGAAAGAAACAAGCCAACATTAGTCCAGCATTTCAATCCAATAATGATTAAATACTGGGGCGTGGGTATTCGTACATATGTATGTGCATACACATTGTACAAATGGAGGAAAGTAGGAAACTGTCTCCTATTTTATAGAAGAAATCTTCATTTTATTTTGTACCAAGACATAAAAAGGGCAATATTACAGCTATGCCAAGACATACTGCCAGTATAACTGCCAAGATTATACTGTATTTTCCATTACATATTGCTTATGCATTGCCAGAATAATATGCCAGTACTGCAAGCATCAAAATATATTTGGAAGTTACTAATACAGTCAGAAGCAGGCCTCCCACAAAGATGGGCCTGTAGCTGGCAGTCCTTCTACAGCAGTTACTATGCCAATGGCTGTGTTCTGATCCCAGTGTCACCTGAACACCAGGTGTAAGAAGAGAGGTGGGGAGACAGCAGGTCACAACCTCATGCTTCCACTAGCTGCTAGCTTTATGTTGCTTGAGCAGGTCTGACACAGATGTCTCCTTAACAGTTCAGCTACTGCAGAATATTTCATCAGCAGATTGGAGAGGAGTGTGGCACACCTGCGCACAAGACCATTCCTTACTAGCTTGCTCCACATGGCATGGCCTCAGAACAATCTGCAGTGACTAGTTCCCATGTTTTACTTTTAAAACAAGAGGGCTTTTTATGAAGGATACTTTCGAACAAACTGCAGAGACCAAGGTTTCCTTCATTCTCACCTCAACAAAAGCCGCCACTTCTTGAAGAACCAGGTTCCACTCCACCTGGTCCTCAGTGTTAAAGCGGTGAGTGTAATCTTCAATTTCATCAGATAATTCCTGAGGTAGAAAGTCCAAAGGAAGAGGAATAATGAATAACTCTTTTGAAAGTTAAGGCAATCATCTCTCATAAATAAGGCGGTCTCAGCACTTCAGGGATGAGACATCTAAGCAATCTAATTATAGAAGTTTTAGATATCATTACCCACACGGCCATATCCAATCTGGAACATGGCCAAGAAGTTGGTCAACATGTGCTACTTCAGGAGACAGGACTCCAGGTACCCTTACTTTGCACTCTGAGAACACAAACACCTTTCAAACAAACCCAAGAGCAAGGGAGGGCACTCATTTCAGACACAAAATTAACTGGCACACCCACACAATGCTATCAGACTGGTTATTGTAAATTCTTGCTATCACAAGGGCTGACTCAAATCTAAGGTTCCTGATCTGTAAGTGAACGGCCTGTCCTTTCCAGCTGTCTCCTCTGCTAGTTTGTGCTGTGCAGCTCTTTGGTGTCTGTCCCGTTGGATCCAGACAGGCAAAGAGCAATGCAGCTTACATAAAACTGCCAACACCAGGATGTGGCTTGCAGCAGTGTAGGAAGGTTCTTGGGGAAGTCTGGCGTTCCTGTCGTTACTCTTTGGAAAGCAAGACTGTTGTCAGAAACAGCCACCCAACTCCAGGCACCCATGCCTACTTGGATGTTTTCCCTTTATGTTAAATCTAGTCAAGTGGAAATCAGCAGGCCACTGGAGTGTAACATTTTCCCTAAACACAATAAAGTATCTAATTTGGTCCAAAACATATTGAAGATGCACTGCTGCTCGATGACATACCCTGGTCTGTATCCTAATCCCTATCTATCTATTGTCCCCCAAAGTTTGAAGCAGTTCTGAAAGGTAAGTGTTTCCCTCACCCCCATCATGCGCGCACACAGATTCTGTATCTTTCCTGTCCCCTAATGTCTTAAGTCTTTCCCAATCTGGTTTCTGGAAGATCACGATAGATTCTTTTCATTTGCAAGGAACACCCCAGAGATTCCAAGTACCAGATTGGAAAGGAACAGAGCACTGTGCTGAGCAGAAGGGCTAACAGAATCAAAATGGGAGGGATTTCATGGAGAGGGAGGGTCATGGAGACTTTTGAGGTCAGAGAGAGAGGTGGGAGCTACTGGCTTGGGAGGAGGGAGGTGTACAAGGCTAGAGAGAAGATCCCCAAACATTCAGACAGCTGAAACAAGTGTGATATTCATATCCACACTGTATGGGGTTTATCCAAACCCAACTTCATGACATCTGCCTTCCACCAATGGCAAAACCACTCTTTAGTCAAGTGGTCAGGTCATTTACGTCTACATGAGGCACAGAACACCAAAACACATCAGGATGTTGTTCCTCCCACTGCAGATCCCAAGGCCAGGTTTAGTTAAAGCTGCAAGATTAACAGGAACAGCAGCAGCTGAGATCTTATGTGTGAGATTTCAACTGAAAGAGAGATATCCTGGATGCCGTAATATCCCATTAAATGCAGGAAGAAAAGCTCTGCGTGACTAGTGGCCTGTATTGCATGGGCACGTACACTTTCCATTGTCCTCATATCATTAATTTACCTTTACGAGGTCCTTCACAACATCCATTTTGTTGAGCAAAAGACAAACCACTATAAACCTTGCATAATAACGCAGCTTCTTAACCACCAGTTCAGGCCTGAAAAAGAAAACACCAATGCAGTGGTCATGGAAAAAGATGATCTGTGCTGACCCTAGCATGAATTCAAGCAACGTAGGAGCTGCTCTTATTTAGACCTGTTGGGCATAATCCCTAAAGGGCCCCACACATCAGCTAAGGATCAGCAGAGCTCTGTGCTGTCTCGCACACATCCCCTACTCTAATGTGAGATGTGGGTGGTTGGTGCAGGAGCTGGCTTTACTGGCTTTCTGCCAGTTTATGGTCAGAACCTGGCTCCTTTGTGTTATCTGCTGATGGATCACAAATGAGATTCTGGACCACTGAGTCAAACCATCAGAGAGAACAAAACATTAAACATCTGCAAGTTCAATTATGGGACATAACATCTTAGCACATTTTCACCTTTGTAAAATAAATCTGCCACAGTCTTTAAAGAGGACATCTCTGCCAATCACATCTAGTCTGAACGAGCTCAGACACCCAGACTGGAGTGAGGAGATTCTCCAAGGAAAAATAAGCTAAGATCTGAGGCCAACAATAAAGGACACTAAAATGGTTGTTTAGTCTATCTGCAGACTTTCAGATGGTATGCTCAGAAAATCAGTAAGGCTCTAGGTCCTGCTAACCAAGTCCAAAATTCTTGAGTGCCTGTAACAAACTTGGCAGGCAATTCTATATTGCAGAGATTTTTATTCTGATGATCACTTTCTCAAAAGTCAATCCAGATCACTTCTTCCCCAGTTCTAACTAGCCACTGACCTCACCTCCCAGCCAGAGCACAGGACTGACAGCAAGAACCTCTTGAGTTCAGTGTCTGCTCATACTGAATCCTCCTAGTCGCTTGGGAGCCTGAAGCGTTAGACAACACCTCGCAGCATCCTTTTGAATAAGCCCTGCTCCGGATTGCTCCCCACAGGAGCACACCTCTCAGGCTTTCTGAAATAGTTAACGAATGGGGAGGACCACATTACCCTAGTCAGGTGTGGTAAGGCTGCCAAACTGCCAACATCACTGCACTTCAGAGAATTTTCAAGTAAAAATAAAGGGACCTATTATTTCCTCTACTTTGTTTCTGCATGAGCAAGTTAATCTCCCAGCTCTAGAACACTATGTGGGTAATTCCCAGTGACAGCACTGATAAAAAAGGCTGGGAAGGACACAGATGAGCAGCTGAAGGTCTTCCTTGCTGCTGAACCCAATTGCTAATCCCTCTAGTCTCCAGACATGGCTGGTGGTTCTACAATAAAGTGTTTAATCAGGGTTGTTAGGATTAACAACGACTTCCTCTGCAGAGCTGCTCTTACCCCAGTTATTTTCCCTTAATCGCAGTTTACAATTCAAGGCTGCTTCTGCTCATCACTTTAATCCTCAAAAAAAAAAAAGGGGGGGGGGGGCGCGAGAGAGAGACAAGATGCTGGTGCAGTCATACCTGTCCTCTTTATTGACTTGGGAGTAATATGATCTCTGTCGAATTGCTGAATAAAAGGAGAAGGCTTCATTCAGATAGCTGGTTTCAGATGTCCGCAGGCTGTGGGAGAAACATATTACCTCACAGCTCCACGTAGAGGGTCCTGTCACCCCTACCCCTGCCACTGACACACAAGATGATTGAGTGGGTAAAACATGCTCTCTCTCTCTCTCTCTCTCTCTCGTAGTGAGTGCTACATTAAAAAAAAGCAAGTTTTCCAATCCCAGCACATGATTGGAGGAGATTCCAGCGCTTCAATTTTATTTCAGACAGTCTAAGGAAGCCAGCAGCAAAGATCAGCTGTCAGTACCTCATGCCCATACGTACAGGTGATACGTTAACATGGGAGATTTAAGGGGAACAACAGTTTCAAATCCCAAACTAGTAACTAAATCAATATGCAAAGTCAATGCAACAGATATGGAAGACTTTAAAGTGACCCTTGAGGTCAAAGAGGCAGACCTTTAGCACCGTCAACAAAACTTGCAGAATAATATTTGGGCATGAGGGTCATCTTTGGGATCCACTTTTTGATTCTGCAATGAATCTTGTTGGGTAACAAATGCTGTGAGTGGTCCCTCCTGGGGCTTTCTTGTACCACTCCTGAGGGCAAGTCTACACTAGAAACGTAAGTCAACCAACAATTACTACAGTGGTTCATGTCCACAATACCCCCTCTTTCTATTGGTGGCGCGTCCTCACCAGGAGTGTTTCCACCGACTTAAGAGGGGCAGTGAGGGGGGCTGAGAGCCTGGACAGCTGTTGGTCTGGGAACCAGAAGCGGGGATCCAGGCAGCACCTGTGCTCCGAGCTGGAAGGGGGCAGCCTGACTGGGAGCAGGGAACTCGGAGAGCAGCTGGGCTCTAGCTGGAACCCCCCACCCACCCCAGTGACAGCTGGGCTTTCTTGTCAATTTCATTGCTCCAGTATGGAGCTGCAAAATTGACAAGAATGAGAGCCAACAGCCGATGTAAGTAGTGCAGTGTCTAACTACACCGACATACACCGTACATCTCTCAGAGAGACAGAGTTACGTGGGTGTAAGAGGGCACTTACATTGGACGGAGGAAGGCTGTAGTGGGTACACTGACATAATTAGGTCGACATAAGCTGCCTTACGTCAACCTAACTCTGTAGCGTAGACCAAGGTGCAGTCATTCGAGAGTACACATGGTTCCTCCCAACCCCATCCTTCACTGCTGGCTCAGGAAGGAAATTGTTCTGGAACTGCCACCATGTGTGCTGCATGGGCCATGAGCAACACCATTGTCTCCAGCAGGCACTGCAATAGATTCACTTACTAATAATGGTAGTAGAGCTGCCCAATCTTGGAGGCAATTTCCCCAATCTGCCACCGCTTCAATCCATATCGATTGTCCAGTACTTGTCTATTTCAAGCAAGAGAAAAGGGAGAGTATCAATATATCCCATGCATTTCCCAGAACAGCAACCCATCCAAATCCAAGTCAAGACACTATTCTAAGACCAAATCCTGCTTGCCTTACTTATGTGGGTATTCACAACAACAGCCCTTAGAGAAAAACTTTTATACTCTAACATGGCATTTACAAGCCAGCTCTGGCAGAGTTGTGCACACATTAGAAGGGGCACATTGCAAAACAAGGGATTCCACAGCACCAAAAATGTGTGACAGCTGGAGGGACCATTATGTTTCACAAATAACGTGAAAGAGGGTCGCAGCTTCCTGAGAACACTCAAGAGAGCTGGGTACAGTGAGGTGTGAAAGGTCAGAGCTTGTGCAGCGGCAAGACATTGCATCCATTCCACATGGGCACAGGTGCACTGCACAGACCTTCAGCAGGTTACGGCAGTGTGCATGGAAGCAGGCTGGGAAGTTGTTTTTGTTTTTTAAAAAGGTACATAAAGAAAAGCTTATATGCAACTTTTTTGGTTTAAATTAATTTAAATTCTTCAGGGCACGGACTGTCTCCCCTTGTGCTTGGACAACACAATCGGACCCCAGTCCAGGCCTCTGAGCACTACCATCAGACAAAAAGAACACTGCAGAATTATTTGAAGATGGTTCTCAGGAGCATTTTCTTACCTATGCTGCTGTTGAAATTTCCAGAGTTTAGTGTAAACATCAAAGGTTCGCCCAAAATAGGACTGCCACTGCTTCTGCCCATACTGAGGCAAATCTCTGCAACAGATAAATGCAGAATAATTGCAGAATACATCCATCAGCCCAGGATGTGAGATGCAAACTCAGAGATTTTTGTTTGGGTGGTTGTTTTTTTAAAGTTAACATTTGTATTACTTAAAAAAAAAAAAAAAAAGGAACTTGTGATATTCTATGACCAGTTCACACGTCAAGTTTATGTTCTGTCTCTGCGGGTAGATCAGCTGCAATACAGACAGAAGAGATCCTGGGTTAAGGCTGCAGGCCAGTACTTGAGTTCATACTTCCTACTGGCACTGCAGCGTTAGGGCAAGTGGCACTTTGCTAGAGACACCAGACTAAACTGGGTCATCAACTCATGAAGCAGTTTCTGCTCGGAGAGGGGGGGGGGCATATATTCCCACACCCATTCTTCTGTTACCCCTTACAGTCAGGCAGAATTCTTTGGCCCCTGCATAGACAAGATTGGGCATTTCATTAACACTAACAATTCCCAGACAGACATTGACAACAACCTGAATATTTGCTAAGGGTCAGTTTATCACTGACTGAGAATGAGAGAGAATGGCAGAGTAATGCAGAGATTTGGTGCCTTGAACTGCCTGCCATCACCACCACCCACCCCATGCAATGTCATATAATCTACAAGGCAACACTAGTATCAGAGGCAGGGGAGGATAGGCTGGTGCCACTTAGCATTCACCAGTCCTTGGGACAGAGCCTTTTGGGGGCTAAGAAGGTATTTTTGCCTCAGAGCAAAGACTAATAGCAAAGAACTGCCACAGTTCTTCAAAACCACCCACACACCACCACCCCAAACACACAGTGCCCTGCACTGCAGTATACACTCCTCATTTTCACCTGCACAAACACACACAACTCTCCCAACACAACACAACCCACACAACCAGCATGCACAATAACCCCCCAAAATCACTCTGAAGTCTAGATTGTCTATTTCCATGAAGTGATGGAAAACAGCTACAAGTACAGCGGAGAGCTTTTTTTTGCTCAGAATATCACCAGATTCATTCTTCACTACGATTCACAGTCTGTTACCACCCAATTTTAAGTTCTTGGTCATTTTTGTTGTTTTTAAACTCAACTTTACGAATTACACCTGTGTAACAGCAAAGGCTTTTAGCTACCAGTGTAACACTATAGACTGTGCATTTATAATACATACAACATATTACTATGTATGTATTTGCCTCATCCTGCTATGGCTGGAATTAGGGGATGGCTGCCACAATATGCAAGTACAGCAACAGCTGGAGGGAGCTAATGCCATGTGTGAATTCACAGAATGTGTTTACATGGTGGTGGGCTGTGCAGATGCAGACACACGTGTGCATGTGTATAGATGCATGATTTAGAGAGTGGAAAAGAATTCATGTTTTCCAAGCTCTGTGAATGTGTCCTTTTACCACAAGGTGTCAGGTCTCTTGACATCTTTAAAACACAAGACTCTCTCTCTACATATTTACTATAACCCTGAAAACAACTCCCGAAGGAAATGGCAGGGTTCTTGCAGCTCCTATGCTTTCAAGCAGGCGACTGGAAACTGCAACAAAAGCAGTTATATGCACCAAATTCTAAATGAGATACTAAATATCATCCACAGTCAGGAACATACTGCAGAGACTTCAGCTCTGCCCAAAAAAGAGGAGACTTTGGTACAACACATCATTGTTTGGTTACTCTTAGACACTATGTTATGCAGCTACTATTACTGTCGGCAGAAATGGGAAGTTAATGGTCCGTGGAATGAAATTAAACGGTGCCAGTGATTGCCCCATAAGCCAAATCTCCTTGGAGCTTGTGCTGTGAAAGGGCAACTTTGGTATGAAACAATTGTTTATAGACCCCTCCCTAAATTACAAGAGGCAGGCCCATTTTCCCAACGCCTGTTCTATTCCAAGGCAGAGAGAATAGCCATTTAATTCAAAGCTCCTGTGGATGTCAGACTGCGTTTTTTAATACACAAAAGGGATTTAAGAGCTTGCATTGAGAGGTTGCCCTGAGAAATTGCCCTATATTTCCTCCTGGGAACTTCTGCTGTAAACAGGCTATAGAAGCCAGTTCACCTGGAGCCTGCCTCTCTTCCCACTTCCCCATAGCCCTAAAGGAGATTCACCCTTCTAGTTGCAGACATACACTAACTGGCTGGGAGCACAATGCTTAGTGTACACAAAAGGACATGTTTCAGAGTAGCAGCCGTGTTAGTCTGTATCCGCAAAAAGAACAGGAGTACTTGTGGCACCTTAGAGACTAACAAATTTATTAGAGCATAAGCTTTTGTGGGCTACAGCCCACTTCTTCGGATGCACACTTTAACCAGTCTGGCCATTCAATGACAGACCTGCGGGTGGCTATCTTACAACAGAAAAACTTCAAAAACAGACTCCAAGGAGAGACTGCTGAGCTGGAATTGATATGCAAACTAGATACAATCAACTCAGGATTGAATAAGGTCTGGGAATGGCTGAGCCATTACAAACATTGAATCTATCTCCCCTTGTAAGTATCCTCACACTTCTTATCAAACTGTCTGTACTATCTTGATTATCACTTCAAAAAAATTTTTCTCTTACTTAATTGGCCTCTCAGAGTTGGTAAGACAACTCCCACCTGTTCATGCTCTCTGTATGTGTGTATATATATCTCCTCAATATATGTTCCACTCTATATGCATCCAAAGAAGTGGGCTGTAGCCCACGAAAGCTTATGCTCTAATAAATTTGTTAGTCTCTAAGGTGCCACAAGTATTCCTGTTCTTTTTACAAAAGGACATGGAATGTCTGATTGAAGGAAGGGGCCACAAATTGCATTTCACTGAGATTTAATGTGACAAAAGTATTTTGGGATGCCATGACAATGTCTCCAAAAATCAGCAGCAAGGGCAAATCAAGAATAATCCAATTCAAATCTTGGATTAGACAAATGGCTCTCCCCGTTCTTCATCAAGGGCCCAATCCTGCAAAGTGACAAACAGCTGAATACCTCTCAGTCTTAGGCCCTATGATTCCATATGCAAACCAGTTATCCGAGCGTCACTGGAGTCAGCTGGCATATGCCCATACCCAACCCTCATTGGCTCAGATTGTGGGATTACAGCACTTATATGAACAGAACAAAGGTGAGTGGGGTGACAGCATCACACTTACTATTGGAGACACCTATGCAAGAAATAAAATGGCAGAACTCACATTCCATGGGACACACTGTGGAGGCAAAGTTAAGGTGGTTTTGCTACCTTTACTGTGACTTTCCATGTTTTTGAATGTATTTGTTTTTAGCTACATTATAAGGATTTTAATCTTTAAAATTACCCAGACATGCTCCCAACCTTAATATCACCCTAACAAAGAGCCTTTTGTGAGGGTATCACGAGGAGCTTGGCATGAACTCCATGGGAGAAGACAAATATCCTTGAAGTCAACGCATTCAACACAAACCTAGGGTGGAATTTCAAGGCAGGCATACAGCCCACACGAAAAGCTACTCAAGGAGGCATTACATTTAGTTGCTCTTGAATCGGTCAAGAATTTTTTCAGAGAACCCTATCCCAGATCAGTAAATTGGTTCACCTACTCTACATACTGAATAGCAGATCATATCTTCTATAAACAGAGGCATTCTGAAGCCCCACCCCCAACAACAACTTCAAAAAGAAGGACAATTGCAACCTCCCAGGACCAAAGTTCTTTAACAGAGTCCAGCAATGCCCCTGAGATGGGCTGTTGCAACATGAGACGGAAACCCCATCGCCTCTCCCTTGCCACTACATAGCCTATGATTAATTTTTACAAGAAGTCCCCCTCCCCTCCCGGGAGCAGAGCTGTGCCTGGAGGCACAAGGGGAAGGGATGGCTACAGGAATGCAGCCTCTTGCTGATCATGCCAGGCTCTCTAGAGGAATAAAAAACAGGAATAAGGCAGCAGAGTGGGATTTCCACAGCAGAAAGGAGCAACATTGTTGTCTAATCTCTTTAACAGCACCCCAAGTGGGATAGGAAATTAATATTGCTTTGCTTATCAGCCAATTCTATTTCCCACACAGCATGAGGGAAACTGGCTGACTCATTTTATGCAAAGTGAATCCGTTATTGGCGTGATCCCCTACCAGCCTGAAAAGCCATTTCAACAGCTGTTGCTATCGTGATGCTGCTGATGCCTGAGAAGCTAGGCAGGAACTGGCCAGAAAGCAGGTCCTGCCAGACTCAAAGTTAGCTGCTCCTAGGGTCTGAAGCAAGTGGATAGAGTCCGGTCTGAGGGGGATTCCATATGGTCTCAGGGCCTACTGTGCAAGAGGAATACTGTGAGAAGCAGACTGAGCTTCAGGACACCTCATGCAATAAACAGGACAAGTTTGCTTCAGGAAATCTTAATGAATCTTAACACTTGTTTTCTGAATCATCATAATCCTTCCAAACTTTAAAGCATTCTCTCCAGCCACAGACTCCCCAGTTGTCAAGGAATAGCTGTGGAGCATCAAAGCAAGCCCCTTGCTACAATCCTCATGCTGCTTTATCCCCGGCCCCATCCTCCCAAAGGTTGAGAACATTCCTCACACCTATTGCAGTGACAGCCCCAGGCTCCAGCTGACCAAGCAGCAGCAGTAATTCTGCCCTACCAGGCCAGGGTGACAGGTTAGTGTAAGCAGGAGGCTAAAGTGGGGAGATCCTAGAAGAAGCCCTCCTTCTCCCCTCCCCCCAAGTACTCGTCACATTATTTTGGCATTTCACATCCACCACAAAGTGAGCAGAAAATGTAGCTTTAAACAAGGAAGAAATCAGGCATTCACATACTACATTCTTTACTTGTAACACTCTGAATTTATGGGTCACCCCTCACTATTTTGTACATGTTGCATCTCTGTGCAAGTCTAAGCATTCCTAGAAAATCCAAAGTTTCCTGGCTACTTCGGTGCTTTGGAGTCTCTCTGATTAACGGCCTCTTACAAAACTTCTGTCCTTGCAACAGGTACATGTTGGGCCACTATTACTTCTAGAAATTCCT